AAGGAAGTTATTAAAGATCAAACATTCGATACATTTTTTTTGGGACGCACTGTATTTCTGAAATATTGTTGTAATCCTCATCTAGTGTAATCCCTTTCCTTCAAATCGCTGTAAATGTATTATGACAATACTTTATGACGGAATGAATTTGTATGAGATCTGATGGTCAAATTTTTCCAGTAAACTTCACGATCAACAGGCTGGAAAGAGATACTGTGGTCGAGTAATGAGATGTGTCTTCCCAACACTCGACAAGCCACTGGAGAGACTATTTCGATGGTACACACAAAATCTACTAGTTGATTATTATATTGTGAGTTTCTATCCTCGTCGTGGCTCGCAGAAGGTCAAGGAGTTGAATTTCTTGGAAATCGAAACCTCAATGCTTTTAAAGCGAGCGCTTGTCCATTGATACGAAATTATTCATAATTGACTGTCACAAATTATACGGTAGAGCCTAACAAATTTCGACTAATCATTCGGTCACAGTGATATCCATTGTTGTCTGGAAACCTTGTATTGCTTTTTTCAGTTCTTTATTATTGCACCTATTCTATTGACCTCAGTACTTGGATGCGGGTTTTTATGGATTGAAGAGTTGACTGTCTTGGATGCAAGAAAGTAAGCATTATTATATAGTATTTTACTTGCAAAAATCGATATGTATCGTTGTCATTCAGGTTGTATACTCCCGTTGGTGCTCCATCATGGGAAGAGGAGAGAATTATGAATGAGGTCTGTATCTTCTGCTATGTTTGTGTGAGAGATTAGTTCGAAAATGAACTGCATTTCCGTCAAAGGTGTTTGAACTTTGCAACGGCTTTCTTTTTGGAGTCGAAAAACTGAACAACAATCACGTGTCTGCTTGATTTCGTACTGTAGAAACTTTTCGTTTTCGAATAAAACACAAATGTTCAAAACTTACTCCCCACATCAGGAGTTGTCTATGATTCGTAACTAATTTCATAGAGAATCTTTGACTGCAAAGGATTTGCCGCGCTTAAGAGCTATATTATTTTTTGGAGGGTTGCTTGTACCGGGAAATGATCTAAAAACACAAGAACGAATTTTTGAAGAGTACTGTTAATAGTGTATTAGTTTTTGCTTTGAGATTTTGGGTTTCCTGGAAACTTCCAATTTCCCTGCAAGACTTGAGACTAGTGCGATCAAGTATAGTTGGATTCGAACTTTGCAATTTTAGCTCTGGCCGATAAAGCCGCACGAGTTCTTGCCAGAACGAACTTTTGAGTGGCACCGATATTTGTACCTCGTGGTTCATGGCCGCCCAACCGCGAACGAAACATATCCCAACTTGCTGGAAGGTAAAGAGAGCTGACCGGGATAGAGGCATCAAACTTTCAAAGATTTCAGGCTCTTATCTGGATGAGATCGAACGGCTTGAATCCGATGTTGCCGCCAATGTGACTTTCCCGATGAATGAGCGGTGGAGGGATAACGACACAATGAACATCAACCACACCGTCACCTTTCAGGTAATTGTTTTGCTCCTGAGCTGCCCATTCAATAAAACAAATTATTTGTTTTTAGGACATTTGCATGAACTGGTATGGTGAATGCTATAGGCAAAAGAACATTATTACTTTATTGAAGCGCAGACATGAGCTGAACGCTCGGTAAGCAGACTACCTCGGTTCTTTCTCAGCAGCCTGCTCTTTATATTATCACTTTAGAGGAATATTAGTCAGCTATCCGCAAGCCAACCCCGGTGGAACACCAATATATCTAGCTTTCAACATCGGTGGAGTAGAGACCTTTCCGAACGACACAATAAAGGTAAAAAAAA